AGTTTTTTCGTGTACTCCCGGGAGTACACGCACGCCGCCGCGAACGTGTTAAATTAGAAGGTAGTTGCTTTTTAAGGCCCGCTATCAATCGTTATCAGTCGTTATGACTATCTTCTACACCTGCGCACATACACTATTACCGTATTAAATACTTCCTCCATCTCTTACCATTTTGGAACCTCTGCGGTGAAGTTGAAGGGATTTGTGGTTTTCCGACACTAATATCGACTAACTACTGCATTTAAAAAGTTTTCGCAAGAAGGGTGAGCAGCATGGCAATTCAAATTGGGGGCCAGGTTTTCAACGAAAGTATGAAAGGATTCGTTTAAGAAGGTCCTCGCCCTCAACCACTTCGTACGTGCCTTTTCTTGGTCGACTGGTCTGGTCCGCAATCTCAGAAACTTCCCCTTCTCGCGGTTTCACAATAAGTAATAAGGGCGCTGCGGCCCTTAGTAGTGGCAGTTATGACGCCTCTCTAGTAGTCCAGCCCACCAGCTTCAAGGGCATTTCCTGTCAGTTCAGCTTTAACACCGCGTTCCGATTTCTTTCTTCACATTAGCATTGGATGAAGCGGCAAAACGATTAGTGAACCTCAGGCGACATGATGCGCTTTGCTGGCATAAAACGAGCACGTCAGAAGAAATCGTACAGGGAGGCTGCCAGGGGTCATTACTTGGGGTGCTCTCCATGACTTTTTGGCTTTTTTCTTTCCACTGAGAGCTCTTAGCGACTATAGGTTTGCAGTTAAACGCTATTATCCACGATATGCAGATGGGATTTGTCTTTATAATGCTATAACATGAAGAGTAGTTGCTTAGTAGAAGAATTTCTCTTGGTCTCTGTGAATGCTTGAATTTATTCGAATAAGACTCAAATGATCGTATTTTTCAAAAGTATTCTGAATATTCGAGGCTGGGAATGATTTTGCTCCGCCTTTTCCTAAAGGCTCGTGCAAAATGAAAGCCAAGCTGTCTCTTGCTTTTAACCCTTCCCACCCCTCTCAACAGTTCTCATTTCCAATAAGTCAATGTTTTTTTCAGGACATTCCTCGTCAACTGAACGGAAGTGATTGTGGAGTATTTGCATGCAAATTTGCAGAGTTTGCATCGAGACGAGCACCGATTGTCTTCACGCAAGAACATATGCCATACTATCGCCAACGAATGTTGTACGAATTGGTAACAAAGAAATTAATGTAATCTCCGGTCCTTGTTCAAGGCTATATGTTACGCAGATGAAATGCGTGACACGTTCGTTGACAACAAGGGGTTCCAAGGCGCTTTATCGGCAATTAAGCGCTATCTACTGACCCATCTCCTTGTTCCACGATAACGTTACTGGTCTTAGAAGTTTTTCGGAATTCTTATCAAATGCAGCATGTACCATTGGAGAGCTGAGATCGGTATGGTTTCTGATTCTCGAACTCCAGCTACATTCGAGAGGTTTATTCTATGGGGATCAGGGTTGAGGTGGGAATCATGGGAACGAGTTTCATTAGGTGTAGCTGGGCAAACGTATGGTGTTGAGGGTCTTTGGCTGCTCTAATCGACCAGTGAAACACCTTATCCAGCAGGTACGGTGCCCAGGTGTAGTGATTCGCGCCAGACCCATCTTACTACACCTCTCTAACCACCCCTGTTGTAGGCTGTGTAATCATGCCCTAGTTTTACACCTTACCCAGTTGCTAGACATGGTGGCACCCACGTGGTTTGTCACGTAGATGAAAATCGTGATAGGAATGGTGGTGGCAGCGGTTCTGCAGCGGAGATTGCCATCGTTCTGTTTTCATGCCTTTTACACTTGGCTACATGACTTTCCCAAACGCAAAAAAACGATCTGTTCCCCTTCATGGCGGGTCTTCCATCAGTCTTCTTTCTGTAGTTGCGATTACTGCTGAATGTGTCATTGTTCAAATTGAATTTCAATATCCATTTTGATACTCGTTTCCGGTTTGCTTGGCTGTGAGCCGTACAGAGTTTAGGACTAGCGTTTTGTTTTCTTTTTTCTTTGTTCCATTGACGAGGTTCGAATAGATAATGTAAATCGATACAAACACGAGTTATTGAAAATTTCTATCATCAAAAAGCAAGGCATATAGAGTAACCGAATTGGTGTGTCGGTCTCTAGAATGAATGGACTGGAATTGATTGGTTGCGTTAAAAATAGGGACTATATGTGCCTTTGTTCTCTTTTATCGCAGTAACGGGTCAGTGCGGCTGATCTAGGGCAGTCAGTTAGTTCCCTGGTTATCTAGTAATTATACTTCAAGCATATCAGCTTCACTCTTCTGACTTCTTCGTCGTGTAGTATGGGAATGAGTATGACGGCGCGTTCATAATTTGCGGCTTGGGAGATTCGCCGATTTGAGAGATTGCGCGACGAGGAAGCTACAGGTATCGATCTGACGACTGCGGCGATTGAGCGATCCTGCGATTGAGAGACACGGCTTTTCCGGCGATTGCACGCCTATGGAGTGGATGGGTATCGATCAGCGCCGATTGCCAGCGATTGCAGAGATTCGGCACTCCGGTGATCTCCCAGCGCGCCAGATCGCCGAATCTGTCAAATTGCTGGATCGCCAGATCTCTTACAATCGCAGCGACCGGCGCTGATCGATATCCACCTACTCCATTGGCGCGTAGTCGCCGGAATCGCCAAGTCTCCAAAATCGCAGGATCGCTCGCTAAATCGACACCTAAACTTTCTTCGTCGTCTGATCTTTCAAATATCCGGGTCGCCAAATCTCCCGAGTGGCAAAGTATTGATATTAGTATTGTATTACCGCAGAAAAGACTTTGCGAAAAATGGGATCAACTGTGTGTGGTGAACACTCATCTTGCTGTGGGAGATGTTCCTGTGGGGGTATTTTCTGCGGTTTCTCCTTGAGCATTTGATTGAACCACCCACAGCCCCATCGATCATTTGACATACCTCTGTAAATGGTCAGAGTAGTTCCAACCAGTAGTTGTTTGAATCGATTACTTTAAACCGAGCGATCTCTGTTATTGAATGTAAATTTTTGTCAGTTGCGATCAATTTTTCTTAATTGTTGCACGTGATTACTCGGTGATTACTAGTATCTCGTTCTCATTCTTATTTTCCTCCATTTTGCCTTGTTCGCTCCTTTCCTATGTGTATGTCATGTGTTTGTATTTCAAGTATTATGGCAAAGGTCGTTTCATCAGCCAGATAAATAGTATTGATGTGTTTCAATTTTTGTCCGTCAAAAAAGTTTATTAAACGATTAATAACCTCTTATTGTCGTGTTCACTTAATGTAGTAGTGCACTAATTGCTTGAACATTTCTTTTGATTTTTTCAAAATGCCTGATTAGAGTAAAATTTACTTTAGAAAAACGCAATTCGTGTACCTTCATTTTTTTTCCTGAGTTTTTGTTTCGGACAATGCAATCGGCGTGCATTACCTCCTCAGATGTAAGAATCATCGTCAAAGGATGGTGTAATTGACCTACTAGCTGGGACGTTAGATCTAGCTGTATTTTGGATTGGAGTGGCTTCTTCATCGCCAGTTGTGAGCAGGGTTTGTCCAGCATAAAAAAGCAAGCTGGTGTGGCAAATGCACATTTACCAGCGCGTTCAGGCTTGAGCCCGGACCAGCTCCTAGCTCAACGCCAACAAAGCCTTCTACCCTTCGAGGCGTCGTCGGACTCGCCAAAGCTTTCGTAAGAAAAAACTATTCGACATTCAATAAGCTTGCCACTGACACTTCTGCAATGAGAGTAAAAGTCTTCCGGCAGCCTCAACAAGACCTGACTGCTCCAAATGCTACATAAGCAATCTCATTTGACCTTTTATAGTTTTCAGCCTCTGCATTGAAGATTATTGGACCTCTTTATAATTGGGCTCGCTGGTTTAATACTCGGCTTGATCACTCACGGTCCCTGAGCTCAGTTCCAGGCCAACTCCGCCTTCTACCCTCAATGATGGTAAATTGCTACCAGATACGTCTAGAAACGTTGGCCTAGTGCAATGTCTTGAACATCTGCGATCTTGTTCTCCTGCAAAAGCTGAAATCGCGTTCAAGCAGCTGTCGATTTTGCGAATGGAAATACGTAGGTGCTTCACCGGAAGGGATTATTCACCTGCGAGCTTCATCTTTTTCCCTTTGCCTGCTCAGGTGGTTGATTCTTCATTTTGCTTAAACGAAGTGAGGGGAAGAATATACGAATAATAACTTCGCAGTGTTTTTCTAGAACTCCTTGCAGCACATGTAACAGATCTGAATTTAAGTAGGGAAGAGCAGCAGTTATGGTTAATGAATGAGCGAAATGCATTAGCTTGACATCTACTGCTATACACTCCACTCCTTTGATTTGCTAACGCCCTTGGCCCGCCTTGTGGTCCCATCCGTAAACACCGAAAGTGGAGTTTGCTCACCTTTTCGAGAGACATGTTGATTATGCTGCCTTGCGCTCCACTCCACTCCAAATAGGTAGAGGCACCATCTTCATGATATAGATTGTCGAGATTCTGTTGGACTTCTTGATGATTGTTCAAGATGGGTGCAAAAGAGTGCAGAGCGTGGGAGGTTTTCGAAACCATGACAGTAAGCTCTAGAAGGATAGAGATTTGGCCTTACCCAGAAAAAATTGCTCCAAGGACCAATCTGTTTGTGCAAAAAAGGCATACCGCACTTCGCTAGAATATCGTCCTTAAAAACTGTGAGGAGCAAAGACAAATCAAGGGTGATCAATTGTCAAGAACTGGTTTCATTCCTCGCGTCCCCGTTCCCCGCTTATCATTCACACGTGCTACCGTCAGGTGTGAACGCAATGTAAAAAGGGTTTGACCGCAATCAAAACTGCACGTTCACAATATAAATTAGTTTCTGTTTTCTAGAAGTCGTTGTTCCTTTTATTTCCCTGATCGCAACCACAAGGGTGGGCAGAGGAACTTGCAGAATTGCATACATATCGCAGGCAGGAAAATTAATACACTAGGTGGTGAATTTCACAGATTAATTCCGAACTTCTTTGTTAAATGGAACTTCCAGGTGGAGTAGCGAACGTCTATTCTGGTCAACCACTGGATACAGTCAAAGTGAAAGTACAAACATTCCCGCATTTGTATACTAACTGGATCACATGTTTGAGGGATACTTACCGGTTAGATGGTATTCGTGGGTTATACGCTGGTGAGTGGCTTAGATATATGACTCAATTCAATCATTTTTATTAGAATATGTCAAATTGTGTCAATGTGGGAGATTTGTCCTCTGCTGTGGTCATACTTTGCAGCACTGGAGAAACGGGAGCAGTTCGGTGAAGTGGGGAGGGGGCATTTTGCACTTTTATTACTTCCCAATGACGTGTCGACCCATCTAGACAGCCTCTTCTCGAGTTGACAGGTTTTACCATGATGGCTTGACGAGCTTGCTCCAGCTTCACAAGAGTTCACAGGTTTCACCAGAGTGAGACTTGTAAACCGGAACTAGTGAAGCAACGAAAGTGCAAAATCCCCCCCCCCTCGTCGCCGAACTGCGCCTAGAAACGAAATGAAAGAATCATGGAAGTTGGAGATTCCGTGTCAAACGTATCGAGAACAAGAGCAGATCAGCCGATATGTATCTTTTTTGCCGTCTCTTCTAACCGTAGCGCGTACTACGGGCCCCTGCTTATGTACCAATAATTGTGATTTTGAGGTACGATACCAGCATTAGCAGCAAATGTAGCTGAAAACGCGGTTCTCTTCACTGCATACGGGTATTGTCAAAAGGTAAGCATCCATAAGTGTACGCTATTTACGTGCACTGCACTACATAATAATTTCTTTACAGATAGTCAGTCTAATCTCTGGTCACTCAGACGTAAAAACCATGACACCCATCGAAAATGCGTCGGCTGGCTCATTAGCGGCAATCTTTGCGGCTGCCGTCCTATGTCCCACAGAGTTGGTCAAATGTCGTCTACAAGCAGCTCGTGAAGTTGGCATCCATTGGTGAGTAGCTACGATCATAGGTGAACAGTTGAGTATTCGAAGTCATCAATATTAATTCTAGTACACCTACGTCAGTATGTAGAGATATGTGGCGAGAAAAAGGTATCAAAGGATTCTTCATCGGTATGACTCCAACTTTAGCACGGGAGGTATGTTTCGAATTTTCCTTAGAACAGGAATGCGTTGAAAGGCAC